GCAATTGGTAACCCACTAATACTGCTGCCCACAAGGTTTGTAATTGCAGAAGTAATCACTTTGTGGCTGATGTAAATTTTGTAATGAGAAATACTGGATTTATGACTGCAGGATCTCTCACAGACTGTTTTATTGCTTAGAGGAATTGCTTTCTCTGTGGGGAAAATCCATCATTAGATGTCTGCCTTGAATGTTTTGTGGACCGTTTATGCTTGGAGAATGCTAATGCAATCATTGAAACAATAATGATGATTTGAGATAGTATAATTGTTCCTCTTGCCTTCACTCTGGAGACAGAGTGAGCTGCCAGTCAAGTTAGGCATAGGTTCGTAAGGGGACTTCACAGCCAGAACATGAGCAATTGCAGTGTCTGGTCTTTGGGTTCTTGCTTCACCTGGTAGGTTTATTCCACTTTCCTGAACTAGATAGTAAATAGTTGTTTGGAAGAGTGCAAGATACACCACCTCTGTCAGGATGATGACAATTGATCCTGAGGAAGTCTTTACTACTGCATTTGTGTGTGGACCCTGTCTAGGTTGCCTGCCCATGGGACTGATGTCCTCAGGCAAGGTGCTGGTGTGAGGAACAATGCAGTTCCTAATGAAACCAGGCGTCCAAGATGTGAATGTCTTAAACCTGCTGGGGTTGGGATGTTCCTGGGCATGCCTGCTGAATATAGAAGCTTTGAGACCTACCTAGCTTTTGTGGTGAAAATCTTAGCATCTCCAGGCTTAGTTGGTGTGGGGCTTGGTTTGAGATATGAAATACGGGTACCCAGTAAGTACGTAAATCTGGTGTTGATCTGTGGCTGGGGTTTACTATGAGCAGTGAATTACGAAGCAGATCCTGCAAGCGTGACTCTGCTGCATGGTGCAGGACAGTGGCCATTGCCCAGGGATGCTGCAGGTCCTCAGACTGGCTCTCAGCAAGCATGGCCGAAGGGTACTTGGTTTATTCAGCTCTTTCCATTACTCCCTTGTAATAACGAACTAGTATGTTAACCTGGGAGCACTACACAATAACTGCATGAACATTGCTGTTATTGCAGCAAAAGAAGTCGCTGTTATGTAGTTTCATTTTCTGTTTATGTGCTCTTTCACTGAGAGCAGAGTATGTGTATGCTTTTGTCTTTAAGTGAAGGTAGCTGCTAAGCTTTCCATTTTAATTTAGTGTAATTTTGCCAGCTCTGTGCCTATAGCATATCTCAGCAGAGAAACTGCTTCAGTCAGCAAGGCCGTTCCTTGATAGGTCTGAGTCTATAGAAAGAAACATACCAGGAGAATGATCTTAGACTCATCATGCTTTGAAGCCTGAATTTCCCAAGGTATTTTTTCCTACACAGTGGTGCTGCAGGCAGCTGCTTCATAGGGTAAACGGGGAAGTGGGAGCCCTTCCCTGCCGGAGTTACCTACCTGGTCCTTCTGCATCCTGCTATATCCCATTTTGGTGCAATGCCTGCTTTTAGGGACCTGACTGAAACCCTCATGTCACTTCAGTCCTTCCGTGAAGCTGTGTTGTTGTGTGGATTAGCATTTCTTTTCATTTCCTACTTTCTGTGTGCAATGGATGTACTCTGGGTGGAAACACATGCTAGTGCAGAATCAACTGTGATACGCTGGCGTTCTCTGTCTGATTTGGCATATTTTTGCTTTTGAATGCAGTTCATTTCTGCACTGCTGATCGTATTCTTTATTGAAACAGCACATTTGTGCACAATTCCAGTTCGTTTCTGGAAGCCAGGTTCAATAACTCTCATTTATTTAAACTATTAAAATAGTTTAAAAATACAGAGAGCCATACCATTTGCTTTCTATTCAAATTGCTGCTCTAACCATTGAAATAGGCTTGAAATAAAGTATCTCGGGTTCTGCTTGACCTGATTCAATGTGACTGTTAAAAAGTAGAATTACTGAAAAGATAAAGTTAGATGCATTCCCTATTTGGCTCAGGCTATTGAAATGGGAATGGTATGAGTTTGCTACAGCTATTAATATGTTATTAATCCAGGATATAATATATATTGCTTTTAAGTCTTATCTGAAGGACTGGATAGCCTTTTGTAATGGGTTCTTTTGCGTTTTCTATACACTGATATTTTGTAGATGAGCCATTGCTCAATATGCAAAGTCTAAATGGGTCTTCTTATTCCATCAAGTACTATGTTATTGAGCATGGTACAAAGAGGCTATATCCCCTGCACATTAAGTTTGAGTCTGGTGCTTATTACAGAATCCAGACTTTTCAGATGCTAAATAAGTGCTGTATCTTGCAAGCTAAACCTGGAAGACTCCTGACAGTTTTGGGCTGTCGAGGCTAAATGACTCTCTTAGCTCCATCCTTCTGTCTTTTGTCCCTCTTGTTTCTGAGTTGAGTCCTAGTTCTTTGTGGTGTTAAAGACTACTGTGGGTCCAGGTGGCTAGAAAGCAATGATGCCATTATCTTCCCTATTTTCTGAATCAGGACTCTTGTTATTTTGGCTTTGCCTATAAAGTATCACTGGAGAACTAATAATACTTAACACCACGATGGCTTATTTTTACCTTTGATTTGCTGTAGAAACTTCCATCACTTGTTTTTAAGTTGTATGTGCTATATTAAGTATGTTAAGTTTGTGTGGTATAACCTCAGATTGCTTCTGCCTTTCTTTACAGTGTTTTTTACAGTTTGTTTCCATGATCTATTCACACTCAGGTAAGCAAAATAGTCAAGGCCCACTCCCGCTTTGCTGCACTCAGTTCAGCTTCACACTGGCAGTAGAGGCACAGCCTACACTTTCACCCTGTCCAGTGCTCAGCTTCCCATTTGTGATGATCAGTAATAATCAGAGAGCTCACTTACAGCAGGAGGAAGTTATTGATTGTCATTAAAATGTGGAATTGTGTCTTAAGAAGTCTCATTTTGCTCCTCACTGTCACAGCACTTGGTTGACCTTGGGTGAATAGGATTGTTTCTAGGCTGCACGAGGTGCATGATGCTGTCGCAGAGCCCTCAGCTGTTTAAATAGAGAAGCACTCTGGAATAGAGAGTGTTAAAAGAAGTTAGTGGGGTGCCAGGGAATATGATTTTGTTTTGGCAGAAATGCAGGGACTCTTTGGGAAAAAAAAAGGGAAAAAAAAGGTAACAAACATGGATGCTGGAACTGCTCATAAGAAACGGTCAGGACAAGCAAACCTCCCAGTGGATTTGTTTCAAACATGAAAAGTGAGAAGTCTGCAAACTCATTTGTTCCCAAAAGATGTTATTGAATACAGGTGTAGCTTGGTTTGATTTGGTTAGGTTATTCATAAAATTGGCTGCATATCTATGTGAATTCCACTGAAAAAGCATGAGAACTCTGTAAACTCTTCCCTAGGTCTAATGGTCTTGGTCTAATCCAGATAGTCCTTTCTTCTTCTTAAGTGGTGTATAACTGAAAAGGGGCTGTATATATCTATTAGTTAAGATGCTTTCATTAATCTTTGTGGTTACAATCCGTACCTATTTTGCCATCAACTGCTTTGCCTTTTGCTAATGCTCACTTGAACAGGATGGATTTTCTTTGTTAATGATGGTGCTAATGTTTCTTGTCTCTTTTCCAGCTTGCTTGTCTTTAGCTGCTTTCCCACATTCTCCAAGTCTTAAGGAGGAGGATGGACAGCAGAGATCTGTAGCATTTCTTAAAGGCAGCAGTTGAAATGATCTGACACTGACTCTGTTTAAGGCTAAATTGTGCATATTTATCCTTAGCTGAAAAGGATCATTAGATTATGCCCCATGCTCATATGAAATTGATAGTAACATGTGCAATGAGCCTGTCCTCTCTTTTATGACATTACGGACTCAAGCATTTTACACATAAATAGGGCAAGATGTGAAGTAGAGTGCATACTTCTTTGAGTTGGGAGGCATGCACCATAAATCAGGATATGTGTGCATAATTACAAGATATCAGAACAAGTCCCAAGGGTATTTTTAGCATTGTACAATGTTAGATAGACCTGCTTTCCTAAAGAACATTATCCTTCTTATTGCTCCACTCCTGGGTACCAGACGGCTTTGTCGGCCAGATTACTTGACACAGTAGCAGTATGATAAATGGCAGCTGCAAGAGTATACAGTGTTTAATTGCACAATCAGAGCTTAAAACTTCTCCTGATTAAATTGTGCAAAGCCTCTCAACTAATTGTCTGAAAATGTCTTCAGGGCTGAGATGTGAGAACCAAAGGCTTGGCTTTTCTACCGGTGTGCAGTGTTTTGGGAAGGTAGCTTTACCTGGCTGAATCCTATATTTGTTTAGGTTGGAAAACCCCATTATGATCATTGAGTCCAACCCTTAACCTAACACTGCCAAGGCCACCATTAAACCATGTCCCCAAGTGCTACATCTACGTGTGTTTAAATACCTCCAGGGGTGGTGACTCACCCTTTTCAAATGCTTAACAACCCTTTCAGGAAAGAAACTGCTCCTCAGCTCACCTCCCCTGGTGCAGCTTGAGGCCGTTTCCTCTTGTCCCATCCCTTGTTCCCTGGGAGCAGAGCCCAGCCCCTCCTGGCTCCATCCTCCTGTCAGGCAGTTGTAGGGAGCGATCAGGTCCCCCCTGAGCCTTCTCTTCTCCAGACTGAACCCCCCAGGTCCCTCAGCCGTTCCCCATCACACTTGTGCTCCAGGCCCTGCACCAGCTCCAGTGCCTTCTGAACATGCAATGAGGGGCTTTGGGAAAGAATAACAACATCATCGCTGTGCTGGAGTATCTTTATTTTTAGAAGCGTTTGGCCATGAGAAACTTAATTTGCAATGTAACTTTCAAACATATTTGAAAGGATTTGACAGGAGAGAGGAAGGATCTGTTTTGAGTTTAAATACTAATTTTTTGGCTAATTGTTAGTGTAGGCATGAATATGAATTTGATCATAATAATACCTGATTTTTTTTTTTTAAGGTAATTTTCTTCTTTTTCTCTGTTTTCAGGACAGAGAAATGCATTCCATACAGCTGGGGGACACATCAGTCTTCCCCATGCACCTTGTCCTTGTGTCAATACTGAGCATTAGCTGTGCCTTCTTGACTGCCACAGTTCAGGATCAGCTTGAGGAAAGCCACCAGTGCTCAGGTTCACTGAATGACATGGACTGGACACACAGGCAGTGTCTTGGGCAGCATTCTCATTTTGATACCTCTAAAACAACGACCACCAAACAGGAAAGAGAGGAGCGAGATGAATCACAATGTTGTATTTGCTTGTATTGTCCACATGGGCTGCTGCTGAGTTGGCAGGAAGGAAGAGGATGGAAAACAAACCAGGACAAAAGTGAAAAAGGGTGAGAAGTACCTCAATAGTAAGAAAAGCTATGATTTCTTTCTTTTATCATGTAACCTAAGCTTGTGTGCAGCAGAGTGTGTGCTCCCCATTGCAGCTGAGTTCAGGCTTAGGAGTGTAGTTAGAGCTTTGATGCGATCATTGTTCCTAAGAGCAGATTGTAAACCTACTTTTGCACAAAGCCAAGACAGGGTTCTTACAAAACCTTAAAGGTGGTTATACCATGTGATTTCGCAAGAGACTAACGAGCTTCCTTGAGCTCTCCTGTGTCATTCCTGTCTCAGTGTATAAAGCAGCACCTTAGAGGGCAGGATGCCTTCAAATTGATACAGCAGGGATGGTGGTAAGAAGGGATGGGAGAAGAGGCACTGTCCAGTTGTCTTTTTCCTTGGGACATGTGAGATAATAGGTATGGCAGATCTTAATTACTCCCCTTTATGGAAGAGGGTCTGTATGAAGAAATGCTGGCTTGCTGTTGCAATGCAGCTCTCCACTGCTACTGCAACACCCGTAATCTTCTCTGTGAGCTTCTGAATATGAATTGTTACCCTTTTTTTTGGTCATCTGTTTTTCTGAAGGTGGAAAATATATAAATGTATATATAAAAAATATAAATGGCTTTTAATGTGTTTTTAAGTTTCACAGGGAAAGACCCCTGTACTGATTTAAGTACCTGAAGCCTCTTATTCTGATGTTCTTTTGTGGAGCAACTAGCTGCCATTTACCTTCCTTTAGGCAATTTACTCATATCAATTAATTGGATAAGAGCCACAGGCAGGCTTTAGGTATTTTAAAACTATTATCCTCATTTACTGCAAGAGAAAATAGCATCTAAATTTTCCTCAAGTTTTCCAAAAACATTTGTCTCTTTGAACAAACTGAAATTGCCACAACTTTATTTGTCCTTGCTGGTCTGTGTTATCTTCAGATCCACAGTTAGTTTTTCTTCGCTTCTCATTTGTGTAAGGACACTCTTGTATCTTAAAATGGTGAAACCACTCACGATGCCTGTACGTTTGCACCCATTGCTTAGAGGGTGTACCTTGCACCATTAGTTCTGTGGGTGTTTAGTTGGTAGACAGTTAAAGTTTAATCCTAAAGCTAGTTTGCTGCCATTTTATTCCTCCATCTAATAGATGAAAGAAGTCAAATTCATGACGTTCTCTTTGCAGCTAGGGATGGCGGCGTGATTTCTTTCTTGTGCCTTTGTAAACCTTTTGTAACATGGCCTAAACTATTTTGAGAGGAAGGTGCTACATAGACTGATGGGCACATTAAACAGTGTGTGTTCCTAAAACAGGCCTTATCCACCACTTAAATGCAAGGAAAACACTTTGCAAAGGTATTAAACATTTAACAGGCTTAAAAATATACTTTTAATAACGGAGTGGCTCGTTCCCCTGGCAAAATGGGATTTTTTGATTAATTTCTGGGAGATGTTAATTTTTAGGCAGCGGTGTAATATTCCTCTTCAGATTTTCACATAACACCGAAACATCTTTAAATTTCACCTTACGATGCATTCAGGGATTTTTTTAATTAAATCTGGTACTTGCAGGTTTCATATTGGCTGAATTATTATTTGGCTTGTATCTGCCTTTTAGTTTTATGCCCATTTAGGTGTATCAGTCAGTTGAGTCATTCTAAACCCCACTGATTTTGTCAAAAGGATGTAACTTGCAGCAGCAGGCCAAGGCTGTTGGGTTTTTCACAGTGTGGATGGATTCCTGCAGTGCAAGTCCTTTGTATCTTAGAGGCATCTGCCCTTCCACACATGATATCAAAACGTATAGATCACATTACGTACTGTGATTTATTTCTAGGAGCCTGAAATACCACATTTGCTGTGCAGAAGTGCTGGATCTATGGCTTTTGAGTGCCCACATGAACAAGTCCATTTTTAATGTACAGAGTTAAATATCTAAAGAAGTTTGGGTTGGTTTGTTTTTGGGGTGAGGGTGTCAGGTTTATATGAATGTTACTTATTTCAAAGCATGTAAATCTGTGCATGTTCTTATCAGGAAAAGTACAGGACTGAGAGATTTTGTGTTAGTCCTAAACTAGACCTTGAAAATGAAGGGTGAGGGGTTTAAAGTTTTAGGATACATTTCCCAATAATCAGTCTTTTCTCTTTTTGAAGGGATTAATGAAACACTTTAAAGCTGCATTGGGTGATGGCCTGCAGCATATTACTGAGGGCTCATTATCTTGTCAAAGCTCCTAAAATAGGGACTCCTTAGGAGTGATGTTGTTACTCAGTGAGTTAATATGGACTTAGTCTTTTTCTGTGGTGCTAGGAGGGAAAATGCTACAGTAGGTGGAGATGAAAATGCAGGACCCTGTGAGACTCTTCCCACTGCACTGGTTCTGAATTTGTTTCGAGCAAATTGGATTTGTTGCTTTTGAGTTTTCCTTCTGAAAAGTCTCTTGTGACTTTATTGTCAGCTGAAGTGTTTATTGACTGAGGAGTGCTTGCATTGTAGTGATGGATATGGTGATCCTGGTAAACACTTCGGGGCTTTCGTGATGCAATATGCTGTGTAAGTGTTTGTGTCATTTTATGCTGGAGTGGGCAGCAGCTTATTTAAATAAAGGGTAGAATAAAAAGCCCATAGTTTCAGCAGCCATTAGTTTCATTAAAGCTAGGACGAAGATAAGAGTGAAATGATTTGTGGATAATATACAAATGTCTCAAAGTAGAGAAGTAACACAGGCTCCAATGCCATTATTGCTGGGAGAAGTGCCAGCCTTCTCATTATTTTTAATGACTTCCAAACTGGACCCTTAGTGACTGATGAGGTAAGCGATTTTAGATGGGAAACACAGTATCTACAGTGCTGGGGGGTGCTGGATGCCCTCAGTTGTTAAGGGCCATGGCTGTGCTCAGGGTGCTGTGAGAGGCAACAGACAAATTGCAGGTAAAAGGCTCCCATGGCTACTCCTTTAGGAAGGGGCAAGAGAAAAAAGGAAGTTTTAATGAAACAGAACCATCTAGGTGATAAAAATTGCGTGTGATGACACAGCTTCTGAACAAACATCCATCACTGCAGAGAGGTGCGTACTCAAGAATACAGCTGCAGCACTTTGATTTTATCCTAATATTAAAAAAGCCCCCAAACCTAACCCCCCCTCCAACTGTAGCAACTGTTTCTGTTTATTAAAAAAGATAAGCACCTCCCGAAGTTCTGGAAGCTGTTACTAATGAATGGTAAATGGGAGGGATAGCAAATACAGGAAGCGTTTCAGTGGTGGAAAAGGGATTTCTGCAGGAGCTGGGCTCCTGGTTTTCACTCTGTCTGGCACATCTATAGCTGTATGTCAAACAAGAGGCCAGACAGCCCCTTACCCATGTTTGCCCCTCTCTGGACAGGGCATCCCTTCCCTTCCCTTCTGGCTGGACATGTCTGCATAGAAATGTTTCCTATTGTGTCCAGTGTGTTAAAAACCAGACTTTTTCAGATTTCAGAGTTGCTGATCAGTCAGTGAAAAATACTGCTTGGTGTGGAGCAGGGAAGTTGCATTGTGCTGCTGCTGTCATGATGGAACGTCTGCTTTGGAGGTTAAGGTTACTGCCAAGATGACCCAGTGGTAGCAGCCATACCCACAGATTGGGCAGATTTAAAGCAAACACGAAGAAATATATTTGTATGGGTTGGGTTTTTTTTAATGCAATAGATTCAATTGTGGTGCTCGCTGCTGTGTGATATTTGGGAAGCTAAATATATAAACAGATTACAAAGATATTAGAGAGGTTCATGGAAGATTGGTTGACTGATGGCTATTCAGAATGACAGCTGACGTGCGGCCCCCATCTTGGGAAATCCATAAATCACTGTGTGCTCAAATTTGGAGGGATAAAACAAGAGGAAGGCTCATGCTCTGTACCCTTCTCCCGGTCCCTGGACTTCTGTTACTGACCCACAGAGAAGGGGCACAGTGTTGGCCTCACCCTTGAGCCAATGTTGGATGTCTATTCCTATGTCCAGGGATGTAGATTTTCAGGCACTCACATGTGGTCCTGCTCCAGACAAGGTTAATAACATTGCTCTGCAGTCTTAAAAGTAGCCTCTGCATATGAGACACATGCACAGAGGGTTATGGCTAGTGGAAATGTTAGGTGAGCACTCCACTGTATAAATTCTCACTGCCCTTAAGTGTAAGTTACTTTAGACACATAGTAATATCCATAATGAAAATGCTCCCCTGAAGTAAATAATTAAATGAGGATCAGAGTTATGAACCACAAAGTGACACAGGCGACAGGCTTGCCTTAAGTAGGACAATTAAACTGTAAATTAAAGTTAAACCGCTCCATGAAACTAGAATATCAGGTAAGGTAATTATTTAAGAGTAATAGGTGAGGTCTGTATACTGAATCAATAAAAAGGGTTCTCTTGCAAGAAAGCTGCTTGGAAAGCACTATAAATTAATGTTTCACTCAGAATTGGGCAAATAGAATTGTGGTATCCAAATAGTGCATAGAATGAAGTATCAATTAGCTTTAGACAAAGTGGGTTATTAAAAAGAATATTCAGGAATTCTGTAGGCAGTTTTAGGAGCTTTCAGCACCTCTAGTGTGAGCTTCAAGGCCCTTTCTGGATTTAGAGGTGGTTTTGGCTTTGTCCAAGGGAGTAAGGCAGCATGCATTATGGGATACAGTTAGGGATGTTGTATGTTAACGGCAGGATTTAGCAATTCCTTGCTTGGATTAATAGTTCTTCCTCATGTAAGTATCATGACTTAGATTGTTGAGGTATTTTTGTGAGTAAGAGTGTTCTGAACATAGAACCATAGAATCATAGAATCCCAGACTGGTTTGGGTTGGAAAGGACCTTAAGATCATCCAGTTCCAACCCCTGCCATGGGCAGGGACACCTCACACTAGAGCAGGTTGCTCCAAGCCCCATCTAGCCTGGCCTTGAGCACTGCCAGGGATGGGGCAGCCACACTGCTTTGGCTTGCTGGTATCTCAGCAGCTTTACTGATGTTGTTTATCACAAAGGCAGAGCTGCTTAGATC